CTGTGCAAAAAATGAAAAAATGTCCTCAGGTGAGGATTAAAAAAAACAACAAAAAACACAGCATACACAGCTGTCCTTATCTAATGGTACTTTCTTAAAGAAGGGCCACTGTTTCCCTGCAAGTAAATGTTCAGGTATACTGGGTAAAACATCCAATTCTAAAAACATATAGGTTTCTATACATACTTTGTTTTCACTTACATATCCTTTAGGTCTCAACTTAAGCACCTTTTTCTGTGATATTTTCCCTTAGGCTCCCCAACTAGGTTAGGTTCATGTCCTATGCTGTCCCTATACAACCACAGCAGTTATGTCACTGTAAGGTACTGGGTGGTTGCCTCTCTGCCTCCTTCGTTAGGGCAGAGATTGGGTCGCTGACCACACAGCACCAGCACAAATAGGCACTCAGCAAATGCTTGTTGCATAAATGTTTGAATATTTCTTTATGAAAGTAAAACTCATGATTGTGCCCACCATCTTTCCCCCTCATCTTTATCAAAACTAGATATACAGAATCAAGAGAGCACAAAAAGATTTTAAAAACAGGCGTTCAGTTTACTTCTTCAGATGGACTTCCCCCAGACAGGACTCTGACAGTCACATTACTTTCAAGTCAGTATCATCTTTTAGGGATATGGCCAGAGGATGATGAGCCACACTATATTTTTAATTACAAAATCAAGACATATGCTCAACTGATACAGAAAGGCGGATCCCATGGTGAGCCCACTTTTACTCAGTAGGGCTTGACAGCTAGCACTAAATCCAAGGGTTTCAGTTTCATTTGGCCTCCTTAAGACCCAGGAGTTTTTACACAGTACATGATTTCCACGTGTAATTAAGTAATGGAGAGTGAGTTGTTACTCGTGACATTTCATTTTTGATAGTGAGGGAATGCATGACAAGAGCTGCAGGCAAGATCATTAATCTCCTTGGATCCCTGCACTGCAAAATACAGCAATCCCTTCCTCATTGTACTAATATAGCTCTCCTCCTGTACTTAAATTGGTGTACTTGTGTGCAGAGGATACAATGAATAGGAAAACCCACAGAACTAAATGTGTCGTGCATAGTAAGAATCCAGACTGAAATATACCTCTGGATGATCCAGAGTAAAAAAATTAGTATATCAAAGTCCCTATATGTAGCTTAGAGCACAATTATGTGACCTGTAGATTGTCCAAAATCTAATAATGTGGGGGAAAAAAGAGTCATGTATACATAGCAGCAACTTACTAACTTTCATTAATGACTCAAAGACCCTTTGTGAATTATAGATCAATTAGTACATGAATAAGTACAAGTGTTAAAAGAATATGGCCCTGGCTGGTTTGGCTCAGCGGTTAGAGCGTTGGCCTGCGGTCCTGAGAGACCCGGGTTCGGTTTCCGCTAAGGGCGTGTACCTCGGTTGCAGTTTGTCCCCGGCCCTGGTCGGTTGTGCGGGTGGCAGCCACTCGATGTGTCCCTTTCGCATCAATGTTTCTCTCTCTCTCTGTTCCTCTCTCTCCCTCCCACTCTACCTGAACAAAAAATGGAAAAATGTCCTCCGGTGAGGATTAAAAAAAAAAGAATATGCAAAGACATGCTCACACAAATGTACATCACTATAGACTAAAGGCCCCAGTGAATCAATATGTTGCCTGTAGCATATTTTAACAGGTTTCTGTGATTACTGCTAATCATACTATTTGTGGCCAGTTCCCAATTTTATCGCAATTGTCAACATATTTGAAAAGAGTTGCCAAGGTATAAAAGTCAAAAACCTCTATATACTGGAAATGCACAGAGAATCAATGATTTCAATTAAGGAAGAAAATATTGTCAAATAGCAGCACTAACTGTAAAGAAATACAATTTATAAAAATAAGTTTTTACAGTGATAATATATCTAACACAGTACAGGTTATGCAATTTAAAAGTATAATATCTGTTGTGCTGACAAAATTCAAGCGTTAACTTCCCAAAACTTGATAACAAGTCAATATTTAACTGCTCCAGGATTTGGTTCCAAAGGGGCAAAATTGGGGTTCTTGTAACAATAGGCTGAAAGAGATTGAAAGATGCACCTACATGGCTAATGAACTGGACAGTCAGCCTGGAGGAGACAAGATGATATGCTGATTAGCACCTACAATGCACAGGTTACCACACCAGAACAGGACACCATTGCCATTCTGCCTCCACTGCTGATATACAGAGCTGACGAGCAATATGTTTCTCGATTTCCTTAAGTGCTTTAGATTCTGAAACTAGTTGACATAACTTATCCAGTAAAATCTAATATATTTTATTGACATAACGATTAATTCATGTTGCCCTGGCCAGTTTGGCTCAGCGGTTAGAGCGTCGGCCTGCGGTCCAGAGAGACCCGGGTTCGGTTCCTGCTAAGGGCGCGTACCTCAGTTGCAATTTGTCCCTGGCCCTGGTTGGACTTGCGGGTGGCAACCACTTGATGTGTCCCTTTCACGTCGATGTTTCTCTCTCTCTCTTTTCCTCTCTCTCCTTCCACTCTATCTGAACAAAAAATGGAAAAAATGTCGAGGATAAAAAAAAAAATTAATTCATGCTAATTAGATTTCTCTGTATACGTTACTCAATTGAATAGTGTTCTACTAAAAAAACACACACCAAAATACAAACAGTGTTCTACTCCTTGTTAGAATATCAGGCCATCACTAAAAGAAGACGGAGGAGGAGGTGCAGGAGCATCAGCTGATAGAGAACAAAATGAGATGTTTTAGGTAGATGTTTTGTCCATATCTCTTATTCTAACATTTACCAGGAATGGTTTGATATGATGTCTGTGGCTATCTCTTCCAGTGTTTCATCATCTCTCTTTTTTGATTTTTATTGATTTGTAGAGCGAGGAAGGGAAAGAGGGAAAAGGAGAAGCAGAGGGTATGGAGGGGGAGCAGAGGGTACAGAGGGGGAGGAGGAGGGCGAGAGAAAGAGAAACATTTATGTGAGTGAGAAACAATGATCAGCTGCCTCCAATCAGGGATGGAGCCTGAAACCTGGGCATGTGCCCTGACCCTGCCCCCTTTTGGTGTATGGGACAATGCTCCAACCAACTGAGCCACACCACCAGCCAGGGCCTAAACTTTTTTTTTGTAATTAAAATTTTTTAATTTTTCAATTAAAGTTCACCTTCAACATTATTTGGTATTGATCTCAGGTGTACAGCACAATGGCCAGACAATCATACTCTTCCCCAAGTGTTCTGCCTAATAGTCCCATCATCCTAAACTCTTGTGTGGCTGACCTTTCCTCAAGTCTGTTCATCTTTCCATCATCTAAGTCTAATTGTGTAACCTCTGGCAACAGGATGGCCAAAGAAACCCAAAAAGAAGATCTGTGACTAACAGAAAAGGTCAAGGTGAGTAAGCCAGAGGATGTCATCTTAACTCACAAAGACATACAAGAAGGAGAAAGGTTTCTCCCTCTGGAAACAAGAGTAAAAAACTGGAAGGCCAGAAAATGCTAGTGAGTAAGAGAAAAAGCTGCCAATGTGTGATTTCTTTAAGAGCAAAGCAGCCACACCCCCCTGAGGCTGAAGTGATGGTGTGGGAATATTTCAGTCACCTACAGGAGTGCCCATATCTGGGAATAAAATTACTTCTTAAATCCCCGTGGTCCCCTGGGATTGGATAGGTTTTACCGACAGGTAAGAGAATTGGAAGAAGAAGAATCACCATCATAAAATACCAGTTAACACTCTTTCAGCCTTTGCTCTAGGCTAGACAAACATTTCACATTTTGAAAATAATCACAACGAGGTAGGTGCTTTATTATTTCCATTTTACAAATAAATGAGGTCCAGAAAGAAAAGAGAGCAGCAGTAAACATACAGAGTTAGTTATGTCACCTAAAAATAAAGATAATTCAGATTTACCTGTCATTTTAGTCCAATAACAGAATCAAAGCTCACTCCACTGCTGCTGAGGCACTGGGGTCTGCCACCAACGAGGAGCCCCAGTTGCGATCCACTTCTGCCAGAAAGGCTCAGTCAGCTAGCAAGCGAGGTACAGGGTCATGTGGAGGCCCAAACACACCAGGTACCTCTGCACAGCAGAGCTCACATCTCCTCTCTGCATTTCTCACCAGCACTCTTAATATTAAACTCCTAAGTTTCCCTGGATTCTGTTTTCCTGCCTATTCTTTGATGAAGACATGAATGAGTCAGCACATATAGATGATGGTGATGGAGGAGGAGAAGGTAGAAGCTGCTATTGTATTTATAGAGAGAGTAATCAGACCCAGGAAGAGAAGATTAAAAAAATTTTTTTTGATTACAGATGTTCCTCCTTTTCCCCCCATTGACACCCTCCTCCCGATACCCCCCCCCCCCCAGCATTGTTGTCTATGTCCATGGTTATGCATACATGCATGTAAGTTTTGTGGTTTATCTCTTTCCTCTCCTCCAACCCACTCTTCTGAGATTTGTCAGTCTGTACCCTACTTCTATGTCTCTGGGTCTATTTTGTTCATCAACTTGTTTTGTTCATTATATTCCACAAATAAGTGAGGTCATGTGATACTTGGAAGAGAAGAATCTTTAAAAATGGAAATACAAACACTGGTTTCAACTACCAATACTATCATGTGAAACATGAACAACAATCTATACTTTTTCAAAAAAAATTATTCTTTATTGATTTTAGAGAGGGAGGAAGGGAGAGGGAATGATTGATAGAAACATCAGTGAGAGAGAACATCGATTGGCAGCCTCCTGCATGCCCTCCACTGGGGATCGGGCCCAAAACCTGGGCATGTGTCCTGACCAGGAATCGAACTGGTGACCTCTTGGTGCATGGGTCGACGCTCAAACACTGAGCCACACTGGCTGAGCCAATCTAGACTTTCTTGCAGTGATAGTTACAAAAAGAAAATGTATTTTTAGAATATAGTAATTTTGTTAAACAAACCAAAGATAAAATAGTGTTACATAAATAAGAGCAGCTCCAGAAGAGAACTCAGGTTTTATGATATATCTGTCTTACCTGATGAATACCAGCTTGACTTTGGACGGAGCAGTCTTAATAATGGCAGACGCATTCTGGTGACTTCTTCCATACAGAATCTGATTGTTTATCTGTTTGGGAAAAAAATAAAATGTACTTGTAAAAAATGCAATGCATATATTTTATATAAAATATATATGTATATAGTCATAAATTATATAAGAATATATCTATATACTTGGAATTAAACAATGAAGTCCATTCAATTTTAAGTGGCTACATGTAGGACTCTTCAGTGCCAAAAATCTCAATATTCTCTGTAGTATAAATTCAAACACTAATTCTAAACAGCTATTAAAATCTCTTAAATTCAGTTTTGAATGCAGTTAATAGAACACACAATCCTTGACCCTTTTGCTAAACATCAAGAGAGCAGTAGTTGAGCCTGATGCAAAAAGTTTATGATATATATTTCATTTCCTACAAAATGTAGAAAACAGACAGTGGTATTCACCAGCACTCTGGAGGGCCTATTAAACACGATGCTGTAAATGTGCCAAGGTTATTACATAACATAAATTTCGTTACTCCAGAGGAGGTAAATATTATATCCCCATTTTAAGTCAGATTTTAGATCAATTTCACAGAACCATTTTTTTTTTGGTTAATTCTCCCCTGAGGATATTTTCCCATAGATTTTTTTTTTTTTTTTTTAGATAGAGTGGAAGGGAGAGGGAGAGGAAGAAGGAGAGAGAGAGAGAGAGAGAGAGATAAACATTGATGTGAGAGAGACACATCAATTGGTTTCCTCCTGCATGACCCTGACCAGGGTCAGGGATCAAACCTGCAACCCAGCCCTGGCCAGTTTGGCTCAGTGGTTAGAGCGTCGGCCTGCGGTCCGGAGAGACCCGGGTTCGGTTCCCGCTAAGGGCACGCACTTCGGTTGCAGTTTGTCCCCGGCCCTGGTTGGTCGTGCGGGTGGCAGCCACTTGATGTGTCCCTTCACGTCGATGTTTCTCTCTCTCTCTCTGTTCCTCTCTCTCCCTCCCACTCTATCTGTACAAAAAATGGAAAAATATCCTCGGGTGAGGATAAAAAAACAACAACAAAAAACCTGCAACCCAGGCACGTGCCCTTGACTGGGAATTGAACCCATGGCCCTTTGGTCTGTGAGCTCTAATGGCTTAGCCAAACTGGCCAGAGTGAAACATTTTACTGTAAACAATAAGCCACGTGCTTTTATCCAAGATGAGGTGGAATTCACCTAAATATGATCTAAAAACATTCACATTCTAAATTTTCTCATTACAGATTTTTCCCACTGATAAACTATGATGATAGCCATAATCACTTTTTTTATTTCATCTATTGGCTTTTTCCCTTTTGTCTTTAACAAGTAGTTAATGGTCTATACTATACAGTCCCTATTTAACTGAGACCTTGATAATTTCTACTACTTAAGGGATGTATATACAGTATATTATATAAGGCATAGTAAAAAGGGATTTTGTTTTTTGTAATTAGCATCTAATTCATCTGTCCTTGATATCTCTGAAATTTTGCATTTGAAGACATAACCTGAAAAGGGTATCATTTTTTTTTTTTTTTTTTAATCCTCACCCGAGGGTATTTTTACATTTTTTGTACAGATAGAGTGGGAGGGAGAGAGAGGAAGGGAGAGAGAGAGAGAAACATCGATGTGAAGGGACACATCGAGTGGCTGCCACCCGCACGACCAACCAGGGCCGGGGACAAACTGCAACCGAAGTACGTGCCCTTAGCGGGAACCGAACCCGGGTCTCTCCAGACCGCAGGCCGACGCTCTAACCGCTGAGCCAAACCGGCCAGGGCGGGTATCATTTTTGTTATAACAGCTATAATGAGAAATTGTGTGGAACAAACACTTCAAAGGATGGAATGAAAATATAATATTTTGAACTAAATGGAGCTCATCCATCACCTTGAAGTAGTAAAGCCAGGATCCATATCAAAGGCCGCTGCAAGGACTAGTTTGAACACTTTCCTCAATATGTCTCTCATTCTATCAACTTTTGTTCTTCATCAACATAATCAATCTCCCAGAAATCCACTGATCTGCACATTGGCATTTCTCTGCACCTCAGTTTCCTCCTCTTTAAAAGAAATCTAAGCACCTACTTCATCAACTATTGAGAATTTAATGAGATAAAGGCTTTCATTTCATTTATAACAATCTTGATTACCCAAAGGATTTTTTAATTTTTATGTATTCAAAATGAATTGTCTTTTCTGTTAAAGTTTCTGCTGTTTTAATATAATGTATTAAAAATGTGTCCACCCTCTGTATGATACTACAATGACAGATACACACCATTATACATATATCCAAACCTACAGAATGTACAAGACCAAGAATGAACCCTAATGAGAACAATGGACTTGGGTCATTATGATATGATACGATATGTCAATGTAGATTCATCATTCGAAACAAATATACTACTCTGGAGGGGGACTGATAATGGGAGAGGCTGTGAATGTGGGGACGTGGGAGCACATGAGAAATCTCTGTAACTTCCTTTCAATTTTGCTTCTCTAAAAGAATAAAATACTTTTTTTAAAAAAAGTGCCCGCTCTCTAGATTATATATTTGCTCCTACTACTTTCTTGGTTTTGTTTATTTTTTAATTTTCTTATATTTGTATCTTCTTACCAAACTTAGTTATAAGGGAAATGGATAAATAAGTTATGTAATCATTGAGAATAATGTGGAAAAGCATACTCAGTGACACCATAGGAAATGTCTAAAATGTATTAAGGGGCAAAACGTCGTCACAAAACAGTATGTCTAGTACGATCACTTGTGTTTTTTTTGTTAACCATGTTCTTCAGTCTCTTTACCTGACAATGAACTACAAATGAGGATCTTTACATCACAATTTTAAAATGAGATGATGCCTGGAATGTGCCTAATTCGATGACTGGCGTTCGGGTTATTCTCTGCAAATGTCTTCCCCACTCTTCCTGGCCTCTGCCTTCAGAAAGTGTTTTCTAAACCTTGATCCAATCAAACCTTCCAGGCTTTGAATTTTATAGCACTAGGTTTAAAGTAATTTTTCTTGTTGCACTCACACCCTACCCGACCTGGTAAAGTCAATCTTTGCTGGGTGCTAAGTGTCAGTCGGGTACACAACATTTTATTGAACTGAACTAACCTTGACGGTAGGAACCAGTTTCCTGTTCTTGGCACTGCCCAGGGTGTCACACACAGCTTGCACACAGCGGCGCTCAGCGAGGAGGCACGAATCACACAGCCGTGAATGAAGTGGCACTTCCATGAATCACTGCTAGTGCGCTCTCTCTGTGGTGGCCTCTAGCCCTCAAAGTGACTGAGGTCTAATTGCATGTTTGAGCATATAAAGACTCGAGGTCTTTCATGTTTATGGATATGGGCCCCCATTTTGATAGACTAGAATACATGGTACTATTATTTTAAGAGGGAAACATTACAACCCAAATGAATAAAGCAGGTCGTTAATTTTAATTTACCTAAAAGGACATCTGAAGTTATGTCTTCCCGGTACCATTTCGGAATACTCAGGCTCTGGCAGTAGAAGGGAAAAGCATCTTGCTTGCTGTTGGGGTTTTTTCCAGGGCCAACAAATGTGCTTACTGCTAAGGTGGCTGCTCCCTGCAAGGCCAAAGGCCTTTCGAGAAGCTGCTCTTCGGTGGAAAAGTGGGAACAGGACAAGAAACTCGGGCATGTCCTGACCAGTTTGGCTCAGCGGTTGGAGCACTGGTCTATGGACCGAAGGGTCTCCTATTTGATTCCAGTCAAGGGCACGTACCTGGGTTGCAGGTTCAATCTCCGGCCCCAGTGGGGGTCATGCAGGAGACACCAATCAATGTCTCTCTCTCCCTCCCACCCTTTCACTCTCTCTAAAAATCAATGGGAAAACATCCTCGGGTGAGGATTAACAAACAGACAAAAAGGCAATAAAAATTAAAAAAAAAGAAACTCAGGGCAGGGTGAAACCTGATTCAACTGGATTAAGTGGAACAGAAAAAAGCAGGTCTCTGGATTAAGAAATCCAAGACAAAGCCTCTTTCTGGCCTCAGAAATGACACACTAGCCGCCTCTGCGAGGACGGTCTCTTGTGTTTCCTTAGGTCTTGCTCAATAGAAAACAATTTCACCATTTAAATAAAAAGTATATAGCTTCCAACTACAAAGGCAGTTTTTATATTTCTTCATCACTAAATGAAGCACACTCCAGAGAAAATTCAGTGACTAATTAGAAAGAATATGAAGTATTTTATGCATAATTAACTCGAGACTGTCACTCTGTTTCTGAGAAGGTCTGTTCTCTGAGGGCATTATTCTTTAAACAACAGATGTAGATCATCTTCTAGGTATAGCACAGGCAAAAAAGAAAGCATTCTACACTTCCTGAAAGTCTTTTAGGTTAATTCTTACTGATAATAGCTACTATTTACTGAGTGCTCACTCTGTGCCAACACTATGCTAAACTCTTGATGCACAGTATCTCATTTAAAGCTCACAACTACTGGGATATTTTGTACTTTCACCAGATGAGGAAACTGGAACGCCAAGAGCTTGAGTAATTTGCCCAAGGTGATTACCAATTAGTTTAAAAGCCTATAATCCTCAGGCACATTTGTACAGTACCCATAAAAATCAGACGATTTCTAAAGGTCATCTCTATAAAGATGTCTGTAAATCATCTCTAAGCAGAAACAGGAGGATGCTAGTCATCTAGTATCTTAGTACTGGAAGTTCTGAGGCACAACATTCAAAATCAAGCACTTCCCCACCATGCACAGGGGAAATGCCTGCTTGTGAACTGTGGGCCTTCTGAAGTCCCCAAAGCACTGTGGAGTCCCAATCAGACTGCACCTCTCTCCTTTGCAAATCAACTGCACCCTGAACGATGATATATACTCAATACACTTTTTCCCCCATTGTGTGTGTGTGTGTGTGTGTGTGTGTGTGTGTGTGTGTAATATATGTGTGTGTGTGTGTGTGTGTGTATGGACTGGCCACCTCTTTAACTTTTTCTGATCCAAGCAAAAGGAAAACTAATCCTATTTCATTTGGGGGCAAATACTGCTCCTATCCATTAAGAAAATGA